GTAGTAGTGTCAGTTAAAAATTTCGAACTAGTTAACAAGGAACACAATGACTTATCTATTGTATTACTGTGGTTAAAACTTAGAACAACACAGATATAAGCAAACAATGTTGCTTTCAATTAGATCGTCATCAAGCTTTATACTCCAATATACATGAATATTTTTATTGTGACAATGTTAAACTAATCAAGGCAATTTATGAGTCTTTAATCACAATGAAATCAAATAGATTACGTCACTACACATAATAGGTGGAAAAGTACAAGTTGGTTGTACGGACGATAGGTGTACTGATAGTTGTTCATCATTAGAAATAGTAGGTCAAACTTGGATAAACAGACTTAAAATAATCATTACAAGAACTTAAAACCATTATGTACTAAGAAGTGTGTACATAATTAGACAGTGAAGAATGTAAACAGAAAATTGCCAATCAAATACAAGATGTGAAAATAAGATTGATGATTGCAAAAATAAATAAGGGACATTAAAATCGTTTATTAACTTATATCAGGCGAAGGAATGGATACTGGTGTCATGAATTTCATCCGAACACATAAACTGGGGTTGAATGTTCGGATTCCTATGGCTTCTGCTGTGTGTAGGAGATGGGATCGAACCACATTGAGAAATGATGGAGGTTAGATCATTCGAAATGATTCGGATTTATCCATATTGTGACCACTATCAATTAGGTGTGCCAAAGAAGAGATGGGTATTTTTTTTATCTGGCCTCTTCTAAACCATGTTGGTAGATGTTCACTCGTTCGTCGGTTACTTTTCCTGTCAGTACTTTCGATATTGCTATCTTTACAGGAGTAGTGGAATTTTTGACTGCACATTGAGAAGGCCAACTCAGGTAACTGATCCTTCGTTTGAGTAGATGTCAATGGTCGACTAGAGAAAGTCAATGCAAGATTGCTTGAGTAGAATGTCCTACTAATTACTTTGGCTAATCTAACATGCAGGATATCTCTAGTCACATCCACGTTGAGTTGTAGTTTAATGAATAAGGGTTTCTTTTGAACAGTTGAAGTCTCTGACTTCTTTTATACATTATAACTGCACTTAATGAACTTAGATCAAAGACAGAATAAAATATATTGATATAATTGCACTGTGACACAGTGTAGTATTCATATACCCTTGATTAACGGCAATTAAACACAAAAAGAGCAAAATTTTGTATATCATTACTTTAATGATTTAATATATTTTCACAGGTGGTCGCTTATCGACTTCACATGTAGGCACTTCCATTATCTTTTGTGATTAAAAGATTACTTAAAGAGATGTTTTCATTTAGTTATATCCAGTTTGAATAAGACCCTGTAGGTAGTTTTCTCTGCTTCAGTACAATATCTTAACATAGATTTATATTCAAAAAGGAAACTATCTAACATTAAGCTTCTCTCTAGATTGAATCAGATGGATGAACTACTTAACGTAATATTAGTAGTGTGATCCTTTTCTTCGGTTTTTATTTCCAAGACAATCGGTAGTATTGAAATAGGATTTCCTTATGAAATGAAGTATTAGTAACAGAGGAATGGCTAGAAGTAATGTTCTAATCATAAATCCATTATGCATCAACAGTATTGCTCAAATCTAATGTAATGACAGTATTTAAACGATATTCATGCAGCGACTTTTAGACGAATACGCGCGAATCGAAAACTGTAAAATGAAAAGCAATGATTTTTTAAATGGAAACAATTGTTACATAAATCTTTAAATTATTTAAATCATTAGTATTTTATTATGTTTACCAATAAATAGATAGAAGAGGACTGATCAAGGAAACTATCAGTCGTTAACTACAATTAATTACTTACTTACACCTGTTACTCCTAATTGATTATTGGCCACCTACCAGGATTGTTCTAATCACTATCTCCTAGGCAGTCCTTCCCAGTTCTATCGAACTACTGTTCATTATTTTCATTCTTCTTTCCAATTTTTGGTGTAATTTGTTCCTTGGTCTACCTCTTTTCCTTTGCCCTTGAGGAATCCAAGTTAGGATTTGACTAGAAAACCATTTGGGTAATTTCCTCAATGTGTTCCCTATCCATTTCCAGCCCTTTTAGCTAATTCATTTTTCAGCTGGAATCTTGTTTGTTCTCTTCTACAGTAGATTGTCACTTATGATGTCTGGCCAACGGATCAGCAGTATCTTGCACAAATATCTGTTAATGAACCCTTATATCTTTTGGATGATGGCTTTTGTAGTTCTTCAGGTTTCCGCTCCAGTGTCGGAAATGTCAAATCTTCATTTTGTAAATTTATTGACATAACGGCATTTAATCAGTCAGCTACAACGTAAAGCCTCGTATGTACGTACATCAGTTCAAGTTGACGCATCATATTTGCACACAGAGATCGCTTTGTCGATTCAAATCCCATAGCAGTAGAGTGGTAGAAGTATTAGCAGTAATGGAGAAGACTAGGGTCTGAAGAATCGAGAAGTATGATCAATTGAACTAAACTCAAAGGTCCTAAGCTCATGAATTCATGACAGAATACAGATAATGGATGAACCTGAGCTATTGCAAACGATTTTAAATCACGTTATTCAAAGGCTTTGTCCATCAGTTACTATTGTCTCACGGACCCCAACCAAGTAGTCTACACCTACCCGACATGGCTCAGTTTAGTTGTTTGTCAGGTTGTCGGCGATTAGCGATAATAAACTCAGGATCTTGATTTTACGCTACTTGGTACACGTCAACATTTCAACATAATGCAGACCGTTTCATATCACTGAAACTATTGATGTTATTATGATTTGATTAGCAGATTTTGAACAGCAGCAATTGTATTAATTAAAAATAACATTGGTCACTACTCATCAATCAATCAATTGTAAATTTTAGCTAGTCTATAATTTTACATATAAAAGTTTGCACAATCATTGTTTCTTTCGTTTTGAACTAGTTTCAATTATTGATTTGCTAGTACTTATGCCTGAAATTTGATCAGTCTTAGTTGGTATATGATGTGTACTGCAAGGATTACCTCAATATATTCATTATAACACAAGTTGATGGAGAATCGATAAAATGTGGCTAGCACTGAAATTCAAGACTCACGTTTCACCTCATTTGAGTTTCTTTGTTCAATTGTTTATACCACTAAAATGAATGCCATTCATTTTTATCAGTTTATTGTTAGATGAACTGTTATTAAAAAAATTGGTCGTTCAAAAAGTTATTTTGTGTTTATATACATGCTGAAGAGTCCCATACCAGGACGAAACGACCGTCCAGTGCTTCCAGGTTTCTAATGGTGGTCTAACATTGATCGATTCATGGTTTCAAAAATGTGTAATTCAAATACTGACAAATACTATAATCAATCAATAATGCTTGTAGAGATTAAGTAACCTATGGTTAGATTTCATGACATGAAATCATTTTGAAAAAGAAAGCCAGGAACACTAAACAGCTTCATCATTTAAATTTCAAACTATTCATTTGAGAATAGTCATAACATCCTAATGAATTAAACTCAAACGATTCAAAACTTAAAAGTTAGTAAGATAATTTCAAACAAACAGTTCAGAATCCAATAGTTTGTAAATATTCAGTTTTGTAATTTAACAATCTCTTCGAGCATTTCAAATCATTAGTAATTGTCATCTCTTTGGTATTCGAATCATTTGAATTTACATGAAAATTAATTACCTATAAAACTCAGATGTATGTGTGGGAGATTTTCCTCATCATCTCATAATTGTGGTCAAGATCTTTCACCTCATGGTAAATTTTCATTCTCTGATCTGAATGGTTTAGTTGTGAAGCGTCGACTGTTCTTCTGACCAACATCATCAGTTCAAAAAACTTCAGGTGGATGTTAAAGTATTTGAGTTTCTCCATGTATGACTCGAAAACAACTTGATAGATAATCAATTATAGATTATGAATATGACTAATTTTGAATTCAAATATTTTTGATGATTTAAAATCAACATTTCAATGTTATTATTCTTTGACAAAACACTTTTTAAGTCAATGCTTTTATGAACATATGTTTGATGCTGGGTACTTGCGAAATCCAAAGATGTTTTCATTAAGTTAAATTGATATGTATCAATGATTATTGATTGTGAAAAGTCTATGAAAGCAATCACCAAAGTTATCAATTCCAAATAATTGATATAATTAGGTTGACTTGGAGTAAATTTTTTTTATTAACCATCTTGTAATCAAGAATCAATTTACTCATGTAATACGTACTGTAAATTTTTAGCTGATAATTGCAATTTAAATTTGTATTTACTGCTCATTTATGAAATCATTTAATCTTAAACATGAACTGACGCCATAGACTGGACATGTTACGCGCGTTAATGTTTTTGGAATAAAAAGATTACACTTCGTCAGTGATAAAAAGAATTTAGACTATAATTTATGCAAACTCAAGCTATTATTAACATATAGATGTATCTGTTCTGTCTGAAAATCTTAACTGACTGCTTAGAAGTTATTAAAATTGGTTGCTCACAAGATTAAAAGGTGTTTTTAATTACTGAAAATAAATTTTTAGTTTCTAAACCTTGAGAACTGAATTCTTGATCACAATCTTTGTTGGCTCAATAACAGACTGAGCTTGAAAGCCAATACTATTTGATAATGTTCCAATGTAAAGCCCTATAAATTCTCGGTAATATACGTTCGAATTGTCTAGCTTAATCTTTTGCGTATTGTTTAAATAACAATGAACTGCATAAAAATCAAAAATATTTTTTATACTACTGTATTATTATTCAGTACTATAAAAGATATTTGATAATTTATATTGGCCGTGAATAATTAAAATAAATCAAATTCTTTTCTATGTCTCATTGGTAAATATTTATCTAATTGAATGTAGTATTAGAAATTACCTTGGATTAATTAATATATCCTTAAATATATGTTTAATTATAAATAGTCGCAAGTATGCAATTGATTTCTTCTTTTTTATTTGATTATCATTTCAGCGATTTTCCACATCTTCAACCTCATCAACAAGTCAAAGACAAATGTTTCCACCTTCATTACCAGCACCCCCAAATCCTGCTCCAAATCTTAGTTCAGTGAAAAATCAACTGAGGCGAACATCTGTACCAGCTATATCACATCATAGTTATGAAACTATCGATAACAATAATAATAGTTATAGCCAAAACAATAAGCCTACTAGTCAATCTAACAATGAAATCATAGATTTGAATGGATATCATGATAAAATGCATGAGAACTGCATCATTTCATTACCGCCACAATATTTGCCTCAAAGTCCACCACAATCATTAATAGCAGAAAGTATTTCTCATTCAGAATTCGATAGTTTACTTATAGCTAATGAAAATATATCTACAGAAAATGTTTTTTGTTTAAATGAAACAAACAATGATTCATTATCTAAGTCAAAACTTTTACAATATAGTAATGAAAGTTTACTAACAACACTTGTTCGATATCAAAATCTAACAGAAAATTGTATAAATCATAAGTTGACAAGAAAATCAGATGCAACTAGTCAAGACACTTGTTTTAATTCAATAGAATTAACTTCATGTGATATTCATAATCCTGAGAAATTACCTGATCAATCATGTATTAGTGAAGAGATAAGAAAATCTCATGATCAATCTGTGAAAGTTAATCTACGGAATCATTGTCATCCCATTGAATTCAATAATACTTTAGAAAAGAAAAAATCCAAGACTAGCAATCGATTGTCTATGTCAAATGAACAGAAAATTACATCACCTAAGCAATTTGTATTAGATAAGCCAAATGATACTAATCATACAAATATTGATTTAAAACATTTAAGTAAAGTGGAACAAGTTAAACAATGTTGGGAAAATTATTTCCGACCGAAACCACCAAGAATTGCAAGAAATAAAACTAGAAAAACTGATTCAATAACTCAATCGGTTATTTTAGATAATGATAATAATAATAATAATGACCTAACAAGTAAATGTTTACGATCGAACAGTGTTGATTGTACATATCGAGATTATGAGTGTAAACAGTCTACAGAAGAGAAATATGATTCAGATGAATATTCAACAAGTTCACAATGTAAAGCTTTATCAACACCTGTCAGTCCAATTTTAACAAGTAATAATAATTCGCAAGCAATTAACTCGACACTTATTCAATCTCAATTTTTTCCTAAAGAAACAAATGAATTTGATCAATGGACCAAATCAAAATATACAAGAAAAGGATATTCTCCTTCATTTATTCGTTTAATTATTGCGAATGAATTAGATCAGACTGAACAAAGTCAGAAAGAAAGTTCTTGTCAAACGCCACAATCATTATTATTATTATCATCTGATACAGTAGTAGTAGATCAATTGAATGGTCGACATTCAAGTTCAACATTAACTCTCACTGAAAATACAGCAACAACTAAAGATCTTGACAGTGAAAAAATCAATTCAGAATATTCAACTGAACAGAAATTCTGTGAAAATGAACATAATGTGTCATCAAATGAAAATTATGTTGATAAACGTTTATGTCGAAGTAATATAGAATTTTCTGATCAATATAATATTAATAATAGTAATAATGATGATAGATATTCAGATTATCGTATTGATTTTGTGCGTCCTCAATCGCTTACATTACAACGTCATTGTATTCATTTAACAAATAATGACAGAAAATTAATGTCTCTGTCTTCTAGCAAATCATCAGATAATTTTCACGAGACTAATCTACAGTCTTCTTATGACAATGATGTGAATGAAATGACTAAAGAGATAAAAATACATACAGGAAAATATCCCTACACATTTATTGATCATACACAGACAGATGATAATTTAAACAAACATGCTCATTGGTCAAGATTGTATGTTGAACAAAAAGACAGATTGAATAAAAATATGAACAAAAAGTTTCAACGAAACGATAACACACAAATAGACAATGACATAATAGTACCAACTGACAAGTATCCATTATATGCAAGATCATATTCAGCGGATTATAATACGCTGAAAGTTAATCCACGACGAGTTCAGCCATACACAATCGGTATTGACAGATCAGAATCATTTGATAAAAGCATTAAACATATATCGTTCGGTGTGAATTTAAACAAAAAATCAAATTTATCTCATCATCTTGTTACTGATTATCATAAAACTAATTTAAGACATAGTTTCTATTCTCCTGTTTCTACATCCAGTTTAATATGTACATCAGTAAATCCCGAAACATACATAAATACTAATTCATTTCAACTAGTGAAACAGAAAAGGCCATTTTCACTACATCAACACAATCGTAAAACAAAAATTACTTTATTTAAAGATAGAAATATTGATAAAGCACATTTCTCTTTTCCAATTCAACTGGCTGAATTGAATAAACGGTCATTATCTCCAAGAATTTTCTATGATAATTCAACAGATAATAATGAACAAGACAGTAACACTGATGGTAGTGATTACGATCATGAAAATGAACAATTGAACATTGAACTGAAAATGTCACTTTCTCCAGCAGCTCAACGATACGAGGAGCATGTGTTAGCAGCTACAGTTTCTGGTAGACCAAATGCTAAAACCACTACAAATCAAATATTTTTCAATGATCCTAAAAATTATGTAACTCATCAAAATCCTAACAAAAAAGTTAGTCTATTACTACCTGAATGTCAATATGATAATCAACCTATAGAGATGATTAAAAATTTTCCATACCATGATGAAGATAGTGGTGAATCGAATAATTATCAGCATAATGAAAATCTTCTTCATACAGAATTATGGCGTGAAAAACTTGGCGCCATTACAAGATGGAGACGTGAAGTGGATGATGCTATGCTAGCTGGTGAAACAGATCTGAAAGAAATATTTCATTCACCGGAACATTTGTTACATAATAATTGTATGGAGGAAGATGAGGAATTCCGTGGACGATCTTGTTTACCGAATCAACACAATACTACTAATTATTTGCCATCAACAATGGCTCCAGTTAATTTACTTCAATCAAACGGTTTATATGCAACAGTTATTGATACGGAAACAAACACACCAACTTCATGCAATCGCCTATTAACACAATCTTATACAACATATAGTAAACCATTGATTGGAGGCAATGAGGTAACTGGAACAAATCGGCATGTATTGTGTTGTTCATCAAATAATTCAAAGCCAAACATGCAACAAATAAATTCATCAATGGCGAAAAATATGAATTTATATGATAATCTAATAATGTTAAAGGTGAAAAAAACAGTTTGTTTTTCTTTGTTTTTTTCTTAAAGCGTATTTCATTTTTTTAAATTTTGTACTGTAGATTTGTATTTGTGGATTTTCAAATTTGCACTCACTCACTGAAATAGATTGAGTCAAGCATAAATGATAGCAAGTGTAAACTAATTTAAAGGATTACAGAAATTTATTGTACTACTACTAATCGATACAAAAGGATACGGTCAGTTTGCATCAGATTAGAGAATAAATTGCTTCTGTAACACTAATCAAATTGATGAGCATGGTCCAAAGTGAATGGTCAAAAGTTTACATCATCTGTCTGACTGACTGACTGAATGATCGACTGATTGGAACTCCAGATCTCAAATACATATAAACATCTTAGAAGAACGTGGAAACAGAAAACTTATTTGCGTCAAACAAGGAATAGATTACGTCGTATAGACTTAATAACTAAAGCTTCTTCCTCCGTGTAAGATAAGATTAAATATAGTGACCAATAGTTTTAACTAACTATGTCCTGAATTGCTTTAAAATTTCAAGTATCTTTAATTGATCATTAATCTAAACATAAAACTTTAGCAGAGAAGGATGGTGGCTGGCAGTGAAATCTAGGAAATCTAGGTTAATTTCATCCTAACGTGACTCGTCAGTTGGATAAACTTGCATCTCAAAGTTGATATTCACTCCGTGCCTGGAACCTAGTAGTGTTTACTTCAAATGCCACCATGTTATTCTCTGAGCTGCTGCGATTAGACAGCCATTAAGTTTTACTATGCAGTGAAGATGAATTCCTTAGTGGTTTGAATCATCCCACTGTCTTTAAATACCGCAAATGTTTGGTCTCTTTGGCGCAGCCAGCGGAGGAAGAAGTAAGGAACAGTCACTGTAAGTGGATAGGCCAGACATTGAGGAAATAATCTAACAGCGTCACAATAGAAGCCATCACTTGGAATCCTCAAGGCCAAAGAACACATTACGCTGAGAAATGGAGGCCAACATGAGAAGAATGATCAACAATTGGACAGAACTGGGAAAGAAGGCTCAAAATAGAATAGGTTGAATAATGCTGCTCACTGGCCTATTCCCCATCGGGAATAACAGTCCTAAGTAAGTAGGTAATTTTGGCGCATCCACAAATTGCCACTATCCACCTCTACTAATTAGTACCTGTAACCTAAAGACAATATGGACGCAATCCGCACATAACATTAACAAAACGACTGATTAATTACAGCGATGATTCAGACAACTGATAAGATTAATTAAAACTTCAGACTACATTTTACTGTAATGCACATACATATCACATGATAGGTAATTCAGTTATTTAATTACATATATTGGTTACACATTTTTTCTCTGGCTTAAACTAAGTAATGAAAAATCATGGAAAAACGTTAACAGCATGCTTAAGAAATTCAAGGTCACTAAACAGGATTCAAATCCTGAGAAAATTTATTTCAGAAATCTTTGAAAAATTGACTGAAAATTGACATTCTGTTAACATTAATGCATGTTATCGGTCCGTCACTATATACATTATTAGTGATGTCTAAAAAAAACTATTATTTCCGATTCATTTTTCTAAAACAAAAAGAATGCACTAAATCTCCATATAGATGGATTGTAGAAAGTCTAGAACTTCCGTAGTACAAATTTTTCGAAAACCATAACGTACCAAACCGTTGTTTCATTCTAGTATGAAACTTCTTAGCAATTTTCATCCATGACCTTATCGTCTATTGAGCAGAAAAGATTTCCGCTCACATGAGTAAACGTTCGACTTTAATAGTGTTTATGTCTAAATTTCATTTACACTCGTAATTGTATCTTCAAGCTGGTTACCAGTACGTAGTATATTGATGATTCAGACTAAACTTGTGCTTAGAATTGACAACACTGCAGAAAGGTGTAGCCTGTAAAGTTACGTAACTCGTAAATTCATTTCTTACTTATTATAAGCTCTGATAAAAGTACTATTTACATATTCGATGTAATTTCCACTTTGTTTTTTCCGTCCTCTATCGAATTTTTATATTCGCATAGCTTACATGATCTGAATTCATAGACAAACAAAAAAGGAGTTATGGCTAATTTTTTCTTGTTATTATTGTTGTTGATAAAATACCGTGTCTAGACAGATAACAGCATGTCATACATTTGAGACAATGAGATAAACTTTTGTCATACAAATAAATTATTATTAATTTTTAATTTAGTCTAGAAAAAGTTTCAAGTGAAATGATAAATTTCATCAGTTCATTGTTTAAAAAAAGGATTTTTTTTTCCTTAAAAATGTTGTACTATTTTACAACCCGACGATATTGAAATCAGTTCATCATGTAGCCTACAGTTCTCACGTCCTAATTATGAGCATAAATACCGTAAAAGTTGAAAGTTCTTTGTTTGATCCTGTGTCATTTACCATGGTTAAAAGTTTCACATTGAATTAAAAAAGTGATTCAGTGTTTTTGGTAATTTGCTCATGTTAGATTGCAGGGAAAATCAGTTTTGAATTGTAGGCAATTCATACTTCAATGTCTTATGTTTACAAGTACAATGGTTCATATATCGCTTCCAGGTCCAATGGTCCAGAGATTAAGTGTTCACACAGAAGACCGAATGTCCTGAGTTCGATTGCTGTGAGAACTGGGAGTCGTGGATGTGCATTGCTGAAGAGTTCCATACCAGGAAGAAACGACCATCTTTCACTGCTTTCACTGTTTTTAATGATAGTCTGATACTGATTGATTCATCATTCAGAATAATGATACTTTTATATCAAGTTCATTTTAATTCAATTTTTACCATTAAGTAAATGACATGAAGCCTGATATTACTCTGATATTAATCAGTTTGATGAAGTCTCAAAATGAATATTAGATATATCTTATTACATTTAATAACTAACTCGAATGATAGGATCTAAGTTTTCGACCAATTGTCCTCGTGATAATGTTATTACATCAAAAATCTATTTAGAATCGAAAACTGACATGTTGAACTCATCGATGTCACTACTCAGTGATTCCTTTTAAGTATGCTATGTTACAGTGAAGAAAATGACATTTCCGTTGTGTTTAATTAATTCTGTTATATTGTCGATGCACTGAACATAGCTACATGATTTATAATTTGTACTTGTTACATTCGAGGTATGAATGAAAATAGAATGGAAACCGGAAAGCTGTTTCATTCTAATAATGATACTGAGAAACAGGATTTACGCTCAAACTAAACTCACTACTTTGAATTCTCACAGCGAAAAAGGCTTCAATAAAAACTAATACGGGTTATAATAAATAAAGAAGTACTTAGCTAATCTTTTAATTCAGATTTCATTGAGTAAAATCTGAAATCATTGATTAATGTTGGTGATTCAGTATTTAGTGAATAAATCCTACTTGATCATTTATAGACAGTAACTATCGAAGACAGTGTATGAGGTTGCGTAAGACCGTGAATTGGTCGAAGTTAGACATTAACACCGTTAGATACCGGCCTAGAGGTTCAGAGGTTGGGCGTTTGCGCTCAAAACCGAAGGTCCTGGGTTCGAATCCTGCGAGGTGCAGGAGTGGTGAATGCGCACTACTGATGAGTCCCGTACAACGACGAAATGGCCATCCAGTGCCTGTAGGTTTCTAGTGGTGGTCTAACATTGATCGACTCATGATTTCGAACATTTATAAACTATCTAGTATAGTAAATTATGTAATTTAATCTCAGATATCTAAGAATTTGTTCAGTTGTTTTTACAGAAAATTCCTTGGATAGATTTCAACGCATATCGGTATTTAAAAATAATGATGTTACTTGTTCATAATTTTATATGTTGTTTCATGAATAAAAATTCATAAAATGGGTGTCTATTGAAAACTTTTCTTAATTTCTTAAAAATTTTGCTCCAATTGGATAAGAAATTGTTTTAAAATATTAGTGTACTGTTGGAAAAACTATCTGACTTGCTTACTTAAGCCTGCTATCCTCAGGGAAGCTTAGGACATCAACCATAATTCTCCAACCCAATATGTCATGGGACTTCCATTCCAGTTCCACACAATCGCTGTTCATTCTTTGCATGCCTGTATCCCAATCACAGAGTGATGTTATTTCTGGTCTGTCTCTTTTCTTTTGATCTAGAGGATTACAAGTGTGTTGTGAAGCAGTCTGCTGCCTTCTTCAATGTGTGTCCTATTCACTTACAGCCCTTTTTCCTAATTTTTCCTCTGTTGAAATTTCATTTGTTCTCTCCCACAGCAGGTTGTTACTGATGGTGTCTGGCCAACACATCTGAAGCATTTTGTGTAGAAAACTGTTCATTCATATTTAAAATCATTAATCAATCATTGTTAGACCACTATTAGAAACCTGGAAGCACTGAAAGATGGCCGTTTAGTCCTGGCATGGGACTCATCAGCAGTGCGCATCCACGACTCCTGCACCTCCCAGGATTCGAACCCAGGACCTTCGGTATTGCGCGCGAACACATAACCATCGGGCCAGTGGGCGTTCGCACTCAATGCCGAAGGTCCTGAGTTCGAATCCTGTGAGGTGCAGGAGTCATGGATGCGCACTGCTGATGAGTCCCATGCCAGGACGAAACGGCCGTCTTTCAGTGCTTCCAGGTTTCTAATGGTGGTCTAACAATGATTGATTGATGATTTCAAATGTGTAAAAACACAAATCTCCAAAGCCCTAACTGAAAATATTCATATCTTGTGGATGATGGCTTTCATAGTCCTCCAGGTTTCCATTACATACAATAGAATTGTCTTGAGATTTGTATTGGTTTTCGTTGATAGTTGTTTTGAGTTCGAGATGTGTGTCAATACTTATTTCAAGGAAAAATACACAAATATCTTAGACTGAATGATGAATATATCTATGATTTCATTGAAATTTGATCATCTGTGGATATTTTTTTCTCAAATCAAACATTTTTTTACTGAAAGATAATTTTTTTATCTCATCTAAATTTTCACAGAACTACCAACCAACAAATCAAGCTGTACCAAGTAAAGTTGTGATCAATCCAAATGAGGTATCGAATAATCAAACTTATCGTTGTGATAATAATGTTCGATTTGAAAATTCTCAACAGATCAATTCAAAATATCAGCCGATGTGGATCAAAGCACCTATACCACAATTAAATTCTCCACGACAACGATCCAATTCAGGGTAAGTATTCAAACACAGGAATAAGTAAATTTAACTTATTTAAATATAAATTGGTTGGTTATATGAATTGACTTATGATGAAATTGTTTGAAAATCAGGTGGAATTAATCTCTTAACCATTGGTAATCAATGAAATAATAGGCGTCTTCAAAGTGTTGCTCGACTGTCTATCTAGGCGAACGCCTACAATACCGAAGGTCCTAGGTTCGAATCCTGCGAGGTGCAGGAGTCGTGGATGCGCACTGCTGAGGAGTCCCATACCAGGACGAAACGGCCGTCCAGTGCTTCCAGGTTTCTAATGGTGGTCTAACATTGATCGATTCATGGTTTCAATAAAACTTAACAATCTTCACAACCCCGTAATACATATATCCTGAAACCACCGAGTAAGCAACGCTGATGTTAAGAAAAGGGTATTTGGTAAGGATGGCAGATCAGTTTATGATGTGTTAAGGTGGTTGGGACATGTGTTAGGTATGCTCAACCACCAAATGCCTCAACGAGTGACGTTGTAGGAGTTGGCTGGAAGGAAACTAAAAAAACAGAAATTATTTTGCTCGAAATAAAGAAGAAATTACGTCGTATAGACTAAATAACTAAAGCTCAACAGTAGAAAAACGTTAAAAACAGTAGAAGTTTCAATGAAAGTTTATGGAAAGAAAAAGACGTCACACAACAATAATACTGTGGCAAAAATATATCATTTGAAATACATAATTTCGGTTTCATAACCGAACTAAAACAGTTATTCTCTTTTCAATTAAAGTGATTACTGATGAATTCAGCATGATTCAGTTTTAATGTAAATTTTCCTTAAAAAAAAAAAAAAACCTTGACACCATGTTTTTTTGTTTACTTTCTTATTTCAATTGTCAAATTTAGCAGTAATGCTGTTGTTTTACAGCCTTCTTTTCAACAACAACAACTAGAACAACTACAAAATTCTACAAATTTACCTCCACATTATAATTATGATTATTATCATCATTATGCGTTGAATAATAACCCGGTCAATACAACACCATCAAACATTCAAACATCATTTCCGGTAAATCAGTCAAGTGTTCCATTTTCAAATATGAATTCATCTATTCATCGACATCAAACTCCAACAGTGAAATCATTTCGAAATTTTTTCACACCAAAATTAAGACGAAA